GTTAAATTTTATTCTACAGTTCGATATAGAATATACTTGTAACCAAGTAACAAAGGGAGCGTGACATCCGTCCCCAATAAGATGTCAGTCAAAGGCATTTTTACAATCTTTTAAATTTAAATTTTTAAATGTATAATCTTACTGATTGTCAATCAAATTCTATGATACCCAGATTTTTCATCTAATGATCATTTTAAAAATAAGCTTTATTCTTTTAATCTTTTAAAATTGGTTTTTTTTATTTTCAATCATTTAATATTCAATCAAATTATAAAAATTCTTCTTTTTTTAATGTTTATCATTTCGTTGAACAGTCAACTTAAGAAATTAGGACTGGTAAGTTATCTTGCGTCGGTATAGTAGAAAAAAAAATTCAACTAGTGTCACTGTTTTCTGATAGATGACAGTAATTGCACTGTTTTCAATCAAAAATTCAAAATGCTTATAGAAAGAAAAGTCTTCTTTCTGGCTCATGTAATGTCATGCAATTCCTACTACATAAATAAGGATGTTTAGACTTATAATCTAATGATAATAACATTTTTATCTTAATGTTAACGTAATTCAAGTGAAAAAAATTTGAAAACTGAATTATTAAAAGTTGAAAAACTTCAAAAATAATGTCTGTCAGTATTATTCTCTTCTTTAATAAACATAAACAATTTTTGTGCAACGAAAAAAAAAAGTTTTATTACTTAAGTTTTTATAAAAATAAATCAGTTGGTAATGAATAGCTCAATTTACCTGAATTTGAATATAAATATAATATGAATATAAATTTATTAATAAATTTTAATATAAATCACTAGTCAGCTTTGAGTAAATAAATTGTGGCCATCAATGTTGGTAGTAAATGAGTACACCCTTCCTGTTGAATGATATTATTTTTTATGAAAAATTGTATATATGAGTTATATCTTATTCTATCTTACCATTGAAATACGTTATCAACGATAATAAATACTGAATTTTTTTACTACAGTGAGACAGAAATGAATATATTACTAGTAGACATAATCCGTGATGAAGTTTGAACTCTATTGAGTTTGATACAATCATTGGATATCCAAAAATAAAATTATAAATGAATTACCACTCTTCCTACGTTAATGATAAGAATAATGATGAATACTTCATCAATATCATTTTTTAACAAGCTTTCTTGTACAATTTATAAATTACTTCTAAATTTAATGTATCCAAACCAATGTTATCTATGCTTCATAATGCAGGATATTTTCCATTTATACATTCTTTGTTAAATTTATCTAATATAGATGATATTTTTGTTCGATTATATAAAAAAATGCTCCTTCTTTATTACTGATAACTTTTTTATCAGTTCAGGATTTTCTGCTATAATAACTGGATGACTTGGTTTCTTTCTTGTAACTTCACGTATAATCTTCATTGAAGTTACATGGCTATTTTAAATTATCATCCATTATTATCATTAGATTATAAGTCTAAACATCCTTATTTATGTAGTAGGAATTGCATGACATTACATGAGCCAGAAAGAAGACTTTTCTTTCTATAAGCATTTTGAATTTTTGATTGAAAACAGTGCAATTACTGTCATCTATCAGAAAACAGTGACACTAGTTGAATTTTTTTTCTACTATACCGACGCAAGATAACTTACCAGTCCTAATTTCTTAAGTTGACTGTTCAACGAAATGATAAACATTAAGGCTGGGCTGAAGTCAGAAAGTTTCCCGGACTTGACTTTACGCCCTCGTGTTGTGCGGCAAAAGGCCGAAGCTTGACGTCAACTGAAATTGAGTAGGTAACAGGAAAATCGTTCGAAAAATGATAATTTTCAGGGATGCACTACAAAAAGGGAGCCTTAGGGTACCAAGAAATTTACAAATTTCAGAATAATCTCTTCCGAGCAAGACAGAGCACAAAATATATCTATCTATCTCCGTCTTATTTTTCAGAGAAGACTGCGAGTTCGAACAGTTGACGAGCAAGCACATTCCCTACCCTCTGTTACTAAGCCTGAAGCTTACGATATCTAAACGTAAACAAAGCAATGAAAATATGCTAGCTCTATAGTCAGAAGGTTCGCCAGTTATTTTACCGAACGATGTTCGATTCCAATTGCGGCAAAATTTTTTTTTTATTTAAATTGCATGTAATTGCAATTTTATCATGCCAAAAATGAGTTTTAAATTTCAATTTTTATGTAAAATTTTTTTTTCAATTAATCAATGACAAATGAGAAAATATTTGAACAGGGCCATTAACCTTTTTTTGTACAAATACATTGATAATAGCCTTTTTTAACAACTTATTAATAATAAAAAATTGTTTAAACAATCCGCGGCGAGTTCCGATACTTCGCCGGCAAGCTCGACCCCCACTTTCTGTGCCCAAGCCTGTAGCTTATAATTTTCAAGCATCCTTTATATAATTGGAACTATAATAGCTCAGTGGTTAGAGCCCCGACCTTTTATTTTGCTGGGCAGGGTTCGATCCCAGTCATAGGCAATTTTTTTTCTGTATCTTGTTCAAGTGACTTTATATACTTATAAATCAATTCATATATTTTATTACATTATTCTTCCAATTAATTACGAAAAAAACTTGTTTTTCTGAAAATAAGCTGAGGGTGAGGAACGAGTTACTATGAATTCTCTTTTTTAGAAAATGTTGTCTTTAAAAGACACTAGGAATTGATTTTGAACTTATACAAACAACCAATTATTGTATTTATATAAAATTTTTATGAAAAAAAAAAATTGGCTATAACTGGGATCGAACCCTAATCGGTAAGATGAAAGCTTGGTGTTCTTCTCACAGAGCTAACATATTATCTCTGACATCATGTTTATGTTTATAAATTGTATAATGCAGGCTTGAGTACGAAAGGTGGGGATAGAGCTTGCCGGCGAAGTGCCGGAAATCCCCGTGGATTATTTCAACTACTTCTAAATATTTCTAAAATTGCTTAAAAAAAAGCTACGTTCATATAGCTATAGTAAAAAAAGTGTTTATAACTCTGTTCATATGTTTTCCGACTCGGCGTCGATAAATTACATAAATAATTGAGAAAAAAAATCAAATCGTTGGTAAGAATTCATTTTAGCATGTTAATATTATAATTACATGCAAATCTAACAAATGAAAAAGAAAAAAAAAACTACCATGACTGGAATCGAACCCTGCCCATCAAAATGAAAGATCGATGCGCTAACCACCGAGCTATTATGATTACAAAACATCTATATATGCTCAAAAATTATAAGCTGCAGGCTTGGGCATAGAGAGTAGGGGTAGAGCTTGCCAGCGAAGTGCCGGAACTCGCCACGGATTGTTTAAACTACTTTTCAATGTTGATAATAATATGATTAACTTGTTAATAACATAACATTGTTAATACATGTAAAGATGTATAAGTTGTTAAACACAGGCTATTATCAATGTATTTATACAAAAAGAAAGTTTATGGCTCTGTTCAAATATTTTTCGACTTAGCGTCAATAAATTCAATGAATAAAGAGAAAAAAAAATCAAATTGTTATAAAAGATTAATTATAGCATGTCAATATTATAATTACATGCTAATCTAACGAATAAAGTAGAAAAAAAAAATTGGTTATGACTGGGATCGAACCCTGCCCGGCAAAATAGAACTCTGATGCCCTAACCACATGGCCAGCATAATGTCGATATTGAGTTAATGTATATTTGTTTTTACACTACATGCTTGGATACGCCGACTTGGAATTGAGCTTCCTTATTAACATTTATACCTAATAAAAATGATACTAATGGATGAATATATGTATTTGAAGTCATTTGCAGGTATTATATTAATTAATGTTAAATGAGTATCATCATTTTCATTTATCCTAACTGCAATAGTCATCAAAGTGTAGGGCATTGTAAAGTGATACACTATGTTTACATCACATACATATATTACCCGTACACACACATACAGAATTTACTCGCCAAAATGCAGGGCACCATCAGTTCTGGATACGGATTGAGCATTTTTTCAATATGGATGACTGAGGTCATCTGCGAGCATAATGCTGTCACCTATCAGAATTTTTTAAAACTAATTTTCCGGAGAATATCATCTGGAATACAAGATTTCTAATTATTTCTAAATTATTCAATTTTATACTATGAATTGATTTTTTTAACATTCAGACAGGTGGCAAGGACTGACGCAAACACGAATTTTTGGGCGAAAAACGTATAAAAATGAAATAATTAGTGATTTTTCATCTGAATGATGTGGCCGCCATCTTGAAATTGAAGCGCGGCAAGTCAATTCATAATTTTTTCATTATTCTTTCTAATTTTTTTAATAAAAATATTCACTATATACAAAAAATTGTTGTTTACGTCAGTCCGGCATTAATTCCTCTGTAATTTGGTACCTAATTTTATAGAAATAATTGTAAATTGGCGAAGAAATTAGAAATTTCCCGATCCCATGTATTTGGATAGGGGGAATCAGTTGCCTTTCTGACTTCAGCCCAGCCTTAAAAAAAGAAGAATTTTTATAATTTGATTGAATATTAAATGATTGAAAATAAAAAAAACCAATTTTAAAAGATTAAAAGAATAAAGCTTATTTTTAAAATGATCATTAGATGAAAAATCTGGGTATCATAGAATTTGATTGACAATCAGTAAGATTATACATTTAAAAATTTAAATTTAAAAGATTGTAAAAATGCCTTTGACTGACATCTTATTGGGGACGGATGTCACGCTCCCGTAACAAATATGCTCTTTACTAGAGATGTGAATTTACCGGTAATAGAAAATTCGGTAATTACCACGTAAAATTACCGGTATCTGACGGTATTCTGACGTCAAAAAATTCTGAATGTAAAATTTACCGTCAAGCCGTCGGTCAGCGTAATTACCGTAAATTACCGGTCATTCGCATCTATATAGATGAATATGATGAGCTTTTTACCGAGGAAATGGCTTGCTTTCGAACTTGCTTGCCAATTTGCTTAAGTTAATTTTGCTTTTTGCACTTGTTAATTTAAAACCATAGTTTTACGATTTTCTAAACAAGTATATATGCTCAGCTTTTCTTCTTCCGAAAAAATATTTCCAATATTATTAAATGCATTATTAAAATGATTATATAAATCATAAAAACATTCAGGTACTTTATTTATTAAAGGGTTATCACCCTCTAAAATATTTATCCACTTTACAATCGGTTTCATCAATTGAAGAATTTGTTGAAGATTATTCCAAAATTCTTCATTTAGTACAAGAGCACGAGAAGCAGGTTTCCATAATGTAATAGCCTTTGAAGAAATTGCTAAAGCCTGAAGATTATGCTTATTAACACAAAGACTGTCAATCATAATTATAGTAGATCCAAATCTTGTCTTAGCTGGTAATTTTAAGGTAATAAATACTCTACGTTCATCTTGAGATTGAATTTCTTTGAAAATCGCTGACATTATTTGTACTTCTTTTATTCCTTTTACAATAGCTGTTGCACTTGTCACCAAAGTTTCAACAGTTGCTTGACTACCAATATCTTTCATGAGTAGGTTAAGAATGTGAGCAGCACAACCATAACAATACAATTTGTCGACATTATACTTTTGATCTATCAAAGTCCAAGCACTTTTCATTGCAGCACAATTATCTGTACAAATTCCGATAACTTTTTTAATTCCCAAAGCATCAATAACACTTCCTATTTTTTCAGAAATATATAAGGCAGTTTGTGATTCGGTTCCAGTTGGAAATGTTTGAAAAAAACTGGCGCTGGGGTTGTTACAATAAAATTGATGATTCCTTTTTTGCGAATATTAGACCATGCGTCACATTGCACTCCAACAGTAGTAGCAGATTCAATTTTTTCATTAACCATATTTTGTGTTCTAACGAATACTGAATCTAAAAGATTATTTGATATTTGATTTCTTGATGGCAAATTAAATGAAGGCCGTAATGCGTTAAAAAATTTTAGCCAATATGGATTTTCTGTTATACATAATGGTGTACCAGATGCATAAATCGCTTCTGCAAGTAGTTCTTGTAGAGAATCTTCATCTTTTTTTGACATTTTATCACAAAAACTATCGATTGTATTTTTTTTATAGTTATTGCTACAAACACTTATATTATTTGGTAAATTTTCATTTGAAATCATTGAAGTACTTGCTCTATTGTCTGCTTCATTCAAATCTTCAATAGTAAATGAGTCGTCTGTGCTGTTTAGATGAGAATTATTTCGTTTACGAGGTTTACATGGTTTTAAAAGTTTCCGTAAGTCTTGAGGACAACTTCTACACTCTTGATAAAGATGTTTTCGCATGCGAGTAATGTTTTCTGCATACTTTTTCTTGCAATAGTTACATGAATACGATTTTAATTTTTGGTTAGGTTGCAGAGGTAATGCAGAGAAATGTTTATATATTGATTTGTTCTCCCCCATTGCACCAAGTTCTCAATGAAAATCCTTATCTACAAATTGAATTTTCTTATATTAAATATTATCAGTATTTTTAATAAACAAATAAAAATGAAAATATATACCTGATAGAACAAATAAACAGTTGTATGCCGTTGGGAATTCTAAACTGTGATTGGACATGTATTAACCAATCAGAGATCAGCATTTTTCTGACCGGTATGGTAAAACAGGCTTGGTCATTGACGCGTTTTTTTACCGGTAATTTACGGTAAATTTACCCGTCAATTACCGATTCACATCTCTAATACGGACATAAATGCTGTATAATTGTCTATAGGACGGTATAGGGAGATCGCCTGTATAACCTTCAAAAAATTAAATAGCATTTATGTCCAGTACTGTATAAACCAGGCATTGATGAAGCATGAGTGTACGTACTAATTTCGTTAAAACGCAAAAATTTCAATTGTTAACACTACTTACAGTTTTTTTTCGGTATACACATTACAGTGTTTTCGATTAGAAAGAACACAGTTATTTTCAGTTTATAGCTGTGTATATAAGCCTATTGATAAACTTGTATCGGACTAATATCTACTGCGCGATTTTCGCCGATTTTAGGTACTTCGTTTACCGTTTACAATTGAAATCGTGTTGGCGATTGTAATAATTTAAGTTTGTCAAGTAGTTCAATGTAGATTTGTTTTTGAATCAATCGAAGAACAACATTTATTCAATATAAATTATCAGCTGAAAATTGCTAAGTTCTTTTAGAATGTCACAGTTATTAACATAGCACACGGCACAATAAATATAATAATTAAAACTATTATTTTTTCGTTACTTTTTTTTATTAATCTGTTACGATTAGTGTATTAACATCAACAAACGATAAGCAACAATATCCAAATATTTACTTATATAATACTCTATTTTGTAGGTTATCAAAAATTTATCATGAAATTGGAATATCAAAAATGATGCCAACAATGCCTCCAGATGCTCACAAAATATCTTTAAAAATTATAGAAGCTATTAAACAGCATCCAGTTTTGTATATTACTGACGTAAAAGGAACAGCGATAAAATTACAAGAATTTAGACAAAAAGTATGGAAGAAAATTTCCGATGAATTAGGATTAGATCGTAAGAAATATTTTATTAATTCCAAAACAGATTTAATTCATAGAAAAATAATTAAAAAAATTTTTTTCATAGCTGCATGGGTTCGTCTTAGGTGGAAAAATTTACGCGACACTTATTGTCGCATTTTAAAATATAAAAATAAAACAGATAAAGGTTCGAGACGAAAAAAATGGATCTTTGAAGATCATTTAAGTTTTTTAAAATTTCCGTAAGTGCTGTTTTTACAAATATTAGCAATACAATTTTAGTTTAAAATTTTTCATCATTTGTAAAATTGTAGATACGAACCTGATTATCAACCTCAATGCGTAGAACTTACAGATGAATACATAGAAGAAATAAATAGAGCCGGAATAACATCTGAAAATCTTCTAGAACAGCTGGAAGATCGAAATGACGAAGATTACAGTGAATATTTAGAAGTTTTGGAAGAAACAAATGCTGATTCAGTATTAGAAGATAATCAAATTGAAATTTTAAATACGAATGAGCATGAAATTACCGAGGCACTAGATGATTATAGCATTAATGAAAATCAACAAGATATAAATATACATGCACAACAAATTAAATTAAAATATCGAAAAATACGTCCAAAACGATTAAAACCAAATAATCAAAATGATCATACCGATGAAAATACTGATTATGGAATTTTAAACCCGAATTTCAAAATAGAACAATTAAAATTACCTATCAGTCATAATACCAGTAACAATATTAGCTCTATGATTATAACAAATACAACATCTATTAATTCTTCACCAATCAATGATACTCAACCTGAATCAGTTATTGATACCAAAGGTGATCTAATGTCTACAAGATCACTAGTACCAACAAGCACAGAACTTTTCTTTAACAGCATGGCTCAAACTGTTAAATTATTACCTCCTAAAGCTCAAGCAGAGGTCAAAATGGCTGTTTGTAAAATAGTAACTGAGGCAGAAGTAAAATACTCGAAAAAAAAATTACAATTAAATACACAACAATTTATTGCACCTCCTGGTATGATTCCGAAATTAGTTCTTATTCCATGTAGTATGATAGATAATCAGGAAAATAAATAATATTTCTAGATTAAAAAATTTTTGTTATCGTAATTAACTTGAAAGTATATCTATCAAGATCGTAATATAGAAACATTAATGCCTTTATTTTAAAAATTCAGAGTTTAATCGCATTTAGAAGTTTTATAATTGTGAATAATGAAATTGCACACAATTTTTTTATGTAGAAAGATAAATGCCATTGAGTATTCACATTACTAAATTCTTTTTTCACAATAACATTATTTCTTTTGAAAAAAATTTTGACTCTGAGATTAATCTGCCTACGGAAGACAATAAAAGTATATAAAAATTATAATTAACATTTTATAGTACAAGTGTCAAATATATTCATAAATATTGTTAAAAATCGAAAAAAATAATTACATTATTTTTATTTTAATGTCCATTGAGTTGACATTCAGTAATCAACATTTTTATCCATTGCAAATTAATTTTTGAAGTGACACACTAAAGTTAGAAATTCTTTGCAATTCATAAATGAATTAAGTTATCTATGTCGTTTAACATCACTATTACTTATTAAAATGGTTTGTATAGTTAAATCGCTATATAGTAATATAAGATGAACTTTTTTGAATTGAACACTTATAATAATTCATGATTTCACCATTTTAAAATTAACATATTTTTGACATTCATCTTTTCAATTATACTTTCTATTATTTTTAGTTATTCATATATTTTGTCAAAATTATGTTCAGCCTTATAGTAGCATTATTCGTTTAATAAAAAGAATACTATTGTTTAATAAAATCTTCAATTTTTAATAACGTATTCAATCGATTCTTATATTTTTACAAACCACTGAATATTTTTCTACGGGAATGATGACTTCTTACTATACAATTGATTATTTGCATTATAATTATACGGCCTAAAAAAAGAGCCTAATACTGTCATATTATAGTAATATACCTAACATATTTTTCATTTCTACAATACAACACAAAATTTATTTAAAACGCTACATATCGGACTTGCGATAATTTTTTTCCAATTGAAAAAAAAAATTTCAGTTAAAAAATTTATTTGCATTTCGTTTGTTTCATTATAGATTCATTCTTTTTAAGTTTTAATTGCGTTTTGTCCTGATATTATTAATTATTAATTTATTATAAAATATGAATAATGACGCTATTAACAATTTACTCGAGTTATTATACAATAAATAGAAAAATTAATAACATAACAATAAATTTTAATAACAAAATTATATTAAACGTTATATTGGGTTGATACTATTATGTAGTGTACAGTATCACCCAGGAAAAATTTTTCTTATGTAATAGTACATAGGAAATGATTCATATACGAACCACATAAAGCCAATTTTCTGTATACGATTATATATGAAAAAATTTTTTCCTGGACAAGCATAAATGCTGTGTGATTTTCTGTAAGGTAGAAAAATCGCATCTATATCCTCCAAGAAAATTGAATAGCATTTATGTTCGGTACTGTACAATATGTATAACTTGAATATTATTAGTTATTTTTAAAAAATTTTACTGATTTTAATACGTTATAATAATAAACATACAATCAAAATTTTATAATATAAAGGCAATAATGTAATATAGTCGTTATTATACAGTCTACTTGCGTTATAAGTTCACTTACAGAACTGTAGAGGACTAAAATTCTAAAAAAGCTATTTTCAACTCAGAAAGTTACTGCCAGAAACTGAATCATAATCATGTTATTAAAATATTTATTTAGTAACAAGATTTAAATTTCATAGAGTTTTTATTTTAATTAAAATTATCTTCTAAATTTATCTCTAAGCAGATCTGCAACGGATCAAAAGTAATCAGAAAAATGAATTCCGAGTTCAGGTCTGATCAGATTAGTATTATAAGACCTATTCAAATCCTTCGTTTCTTATTTAAATTTTCTGCAAAGTCTATAGGATTTTACATATTTTAATGGGAAAGTTTAAGCAGGGTTGGGAAAGAATTTTCGTATCTGATTTTATATTGATTGTATGTGAAACCTAGAAAATCATCTATAAACTATATAAGGCCAATTTCCCATATACGATCATATAAGAAAATTTTTTCCCGGGGAGTTTTATCAAATCTTATTGCTTGCTCAAAATAGATATAGCTGGATAAAATATTCTAAAATTCTATACGATCCTTCAAAATTATGTATGACTATATAAAATTTTACACAAGTGCATAAGATTCCATCGTTATTTTTTTTGATAAAGTTCTATCTATAGAAGCCAATCGTATATGTCTAACATTAAATTATCGAAAAATAATATAACAAATTAATTTATAAAAAACTGAAGAGACGTTTTATTATTGACATTAATTTTTTTTTCTCATTCTTATGATTTGATCTTGATAATCTTGAAAAATTCGAGTATATTTGTCATATGTGATGAACCTCTCATGAAATTTATATTACATATATATGTACTCCGTTATATATGCACATGCAGGTCTTATAACGCGAGAACGGAGTACAGTACTGGACATAAATGCTGTTCAATTTTACGAAGGTTATACATGCAATTTCCTCTACCCTCTTATACAAAATCATACAGCATTCATGTTCGATACTGTACATTATTTTGGAGTACGTATAGTTGGGAAAGCTCTTTGTGGTCCAGTCAAATGAGGGAAATGGGATAATTTTGGTTTGCTGCGGCCACATTAATGATTTATAGATGACGGGATCGGAAATTTCGCGAGAAACACAATGGTATAGGTTAAAATTGTTTGGCACGCATAGGGGGGGAGTAAATCGCGAAAACCGCCCCCCCCTCGCGAATTTCTCGATTTCTATGATAGATATGAAAAAATGTTTTAAATAAAAGTTGTTCAGAATTTAATTTTAATAAAAAAAGTACTGAACACTTTTTTTCATATCTATGATAGATAAAAAGTTATTCGCGACTGAAGCTTCACTATTGACAAAAGCTTCAGTCGCGTCTAAGAAAATTAATAAAAAATACTTAATGTTAGAAATATTACTTTTTGGCGATTTATTTAGAAAAATGAGATATTAAATTTCATTTTTAAAAAAAAATTTTTTTTTTTCATTAATTTTTTCATTATTTTTATAAACAATGAATTATTTAAATCATTCCCATTTTGGTTCGAATGCACCGATCAGCCCGATTTTGGGCTCAAAATGTGCAGAATTAAAAATGGAACATTTCATATATGCAAAGTTTTTCATTATTTTGCACCTGTTAAAAGTTATACAGGTATAAATATTTGGGCCCCCGAGAGCACTTTTCCTCTTCTGCCGCCGTTGGGTGCGACAGAGAGCAATATATATCTCTCTGCTTCACTCGCACTCACACAAAACTTCTGCGCATGCGCCGAGTATGGTAAAACATGAGTACGAGTGAAATGCTCAATCCAACCGTAAGTGTGACAAAGACACTATACGGTGAGTGAAGAGGGGATGTTTTGGGCACATGCTGGTTGCTTCAAAAGTCTTTCCGAGCTCAAAATTTTTCAGCACGAGAATTTTTATCTCCCACATAATTACCTTAATAAATCTGCATACATGTTCTCAGATATGTCAAGAACATGTATGCACATTTTTGGATCTTATGAGGTAATTATGTGGGAGATATAAATTTTTTCTCTTCCCCATAATTATTTTTTTTGACAAAAAAAATCGGAAAAAAGCACCCAAAAAAGTATAGCTAGATCGATAGGAAATTTAATTCTCTATCGATCTATATACATGATTATTGGACCTAAAATTTTAAAAAATTTCTTAACATTCTCGCGCTGAAAAATTTCGAGCTCGGAAAGACTTTTGAAGCGACCAGCATGTGCCCAAAACATCCCCTCTTCACTCACCGTATAGTGTCTTTGTCACACTTACGGTTGGATTGAGCATTTCACTCGTACTCATGTTTTACCATACTCGGCGCATGCGCAGAAGTTTTGTGTGAGTGCGAGTGAAGCAGAGAGATATATATTGCTCTCTGTCGCACCCAACGGCGGCAGAAGAGGAAAAGTGCTCTCGGGGGCCCAAATATTTATACCTGTATAACTTTTAACAGGTGCAAAATAATGAAAAACTTTGCATATATGAAATGTTCCATTTTTAATTCTGCACATTTTGAGCCCAAAATCGGGCTGATCGGTGCATTCGAACCAAAATGGGAATGATTTAAATAATTCATTGTTTATAAAAATAATGAAAAAATTAATGAAAAAAAAAAATTTTTTTTTAAAAATGAAATTTAATATCTCATTTTTCTAAATAAATCGCCAAAAAGTAATATTTCTAACATTAAGTATTTTTTATTAATTTTCTTAGACGCGACTGAAGCTTTTGTCAATAGTGAAGCTTCAGTCGCGAATAACTTTTTATCTATCATAGATATGAAAAAAAGTGTTCAGTACTTTTTTTATTAAAATTAAATTCTGAACAACTTTTATTTAAAACATTTTTTCATATCTATCATAGAAATCGAGAAATTCGCGAGGGGGGGGCGGTTTTCGCGATTTACTCCCCCCCTATGCGTGCCAAACAATTTTAACCTATACCATTGTGTTTCTCGCGAAATTTCCGATCCCGTCATCTATAAATCATTAATGTGGCCGCAGCAAACCAAAATTATCCCATTTCCCTCATTTGACTGGACTATTGAGATAACTTCAACGCAACGGACTAACAGCGAGCGGATTTACAACGCTATTTGACTGTAGGGGAAGAGAGGGGAAAATGGAACACCACGAACAAATTTAAATCAACAAATTAAGCATTATATTAACAAATGTTAATAATTTTTAATGCATAAATAAATTGAAAAAATAATGTACAAAAAGTATACTAAGCGTTTTCAAATTTATTTTGATAAATTAGTATATTTTCTCGAGCGTTTTATTTTACCCTCGCGTTCCACTTTACTTATCTTTCCTCTACATACAGTGTTACTCTGTTACATTCATGTTATCAGACTTGTACAAAAGTCCTTTTGAAAAGTATTCAAATACAAATACTGGGTTTTGGAAAAGTATTTACATACAAATACAAATATTCATAAAGTATTTGAAATACAAATACAGCCTAGCTAATTTAAATAGATATTTTAAAGGAAGTATATACTTGCTTAAGATACCAGCAGAAACTATTTAAATACAAATACAAATAGTGTAATTGTATTTAAATACTGATCAATTTATTCATCAATTTCTGTATAAGCTACGGCGTTACGTACAATGTTCAGCAAAGTTTTTATTGAGTACCTTATTGATATTTTACTTTGTATTTTAAAAACAATTTAGTGTATACTGAGAAGATGTTTTATTTGAAATATTTAAACACAATTATCAAATACTTTTTGTTGTCAGTACTTAAATATTATTTGAAATACCGTGAAAAGTATTTAAATTAGTATTTCAAATACTTCTATTTGAAATACTGACAAGTATGCACGTTATACCGCAGTTGCAATACACATACATAACGAACATTAACATAGCATGTGACCTATATGTTATATAATAATGAAACTTAAGATTAACGGGGAGTACGATTTTCACAAATATATTGAATTCTCTAAAAATTTCAGCAATATAAAGACTAGATCTTCAATGAAAATATCGAATGCCATTTAAGAAGACAGAATGAAACCAAGTCGGGCTAGAACCATTCCCTTTCGTAGTCGCATAATTTCCCAATAAATATCATGAACTGCAAGAATTTTTGAATTTAGATAATTTTTTTTCAATAAATATGATTATAAAAAAAATCAGTATACTGATACTCGTATTACACAAATTATTGTAATCGTTGTGCTATAACTAAAAAATCTATCTTTGGCGATGTGAAAGTCAATATAGAATATAATTTCATTCATAAAATACCTGCACTTTTAACAAGTCCACGCTCAACATATCTCAAGTAGTTTAAAAAATCACAAACAGCAATTATCTGAAATCAAATAATATCGTTATTTTTTGACTAATATTTGTATTTTTTTAAGAGAACAAATCTTTTACTCACTCGATTTCTACAGATTTGAGAAATTGAGTACCATTGGTTTTCCTGATCACTCAGTTGCATTCGGTAATAACATTGACGAGGTACTTCTAAGAGAGCGCATGTTCTGTAAAAAAGTAGTCATTAAATTAATCCTTTAGAAATACATCTCATTAGGTATAAGTAAACTGCAAATCTCGAATTTTGGACGTGTTTTAATTTAAAGAACGACGATTTACAGTGTATATCCGAGTCAGAATTTTACTCTTATTTTCCCACTGAACCCCCTGAAAAAATTTATTTTTGCCGCTGAACCTGCTTACTATAGTAAATTTTGATTTTAAATAAAGTACATATACTTTATTACCTTCCTAGTGGGAAGTTATAGTAATGGGTCCGATTTTGCGAATCCCGAATTTTGACATATCTCCACGTTTTAAGGTCCCCAAAGTCGAATACGATCGTTTTCCAGTGGACGTCTGTGTGTGCGTATGTACGTATGTGCGTTCGGAATTATTTTTCGCCTCGATTATCCCGAGAACAAAAAATGATATCGATGTGGGACCAATTGCATTCGACGCGTAATTATGTAGCTTAGAAATGATTAGATTTCCAGCAAAATCGGTTCAGCCATTTTTTTTGCAGAACCAAAAAACTAGCAAAAATGGAAAATGACCTGAATTTCTCAATTTATAAATTATACCATTTTGTAGACAAAATTTCGAAATCTTTAAAAAAATATGAATATTAAATGATTAGAATACTTGTATGAACACATGGTGACAATATTTCATCGAAAAAAAAAATTGTGTTCATAACAATTGAACATTGTTACTAACAAGTGATTATTGATCATAGTAATATTTAAATAATAAGTTTTAAATTTTTATAAACAATAAAAATAGGGATCCATGCTATATATATGAGTACTTTTAACGCATAATTTTTTCTTGTACTAAAAAAATGTTACCAACTGTATGACATAAATGAAAACATACTTTTTTCGTGTATAACAATGAAATTTGTTGTAAATAATGAATAAAAGGATCTATGAGGTATATTTGAATTCTTCTAACGCATAATTTTTTCTTTTACTAAAATGAAGTAACTAACCATATCAAATGGATAAAAATAGACTCATTTCGTTCATAACAATTCCATTTTTTATAAAGAACGGAAGCGAATTCTATTCGAGGTGTTTTCCATTTTTTCCACTGGGAAGTTGGTCGTGTGGACCTTTCGGGTCGCACTCAGACCACTGCAGAGCACTGATATTTTTTAAAATCAAAATTTTTGTCTTCATCCAGAATATCTACGCGTTTTTTATAATTATTATGAATTTATTAATGAAATCTATATTATTCAATTAGTTTCATCAACATTCGACGATTAAAAATTATTTGTAATGATTTAAAAGAATTTCTAATAGTTAGTGATGGTGAGAAAATATTTTCTATGATATTTAATTGTTCATAACCATACATTATTATAGTTAATATGATTATTTCATTACTACCGAGTACAGAATATTTATAGAAACTATTTTTAATAGTACTCAGTTCTTTTGATTCATGTGTATGAAAAAAAAATTATTAAGTTACTTTTAATAATCAGTGATTATTAATTGCAACTTTTAAATATTTTTTGAATTATTTCGTATATTTTAATCCACTTTTCATTATAATATTGAGTTACCATTAATAGTATTTCATTTATAATATTAATTATTGTGGATTTAAATAAGTAGAAAATAAAAAATTTATAAATTCGTCGCAGCGCAGTGGATGCAGGGACCTGGACTCGATCTCTCGACGTTAAGCAAAACTTTTCGTGTACAGAACTTGGATGGGTGACCGCCGGGAACACCACCGATTTTTCTCTATTTTCTGCTGGACCCCCTGAATGGAAAAATCCCACTAAACCTCCTGAATTTTTTTCACGTTAAACTGCTTGAAATTTTTTACCGCTGAAGGTGCTGAATCGGGAATTATGAAGGGGGTTCAGCGGCAAAATATAAAAATATTTTGTATTATTTTTCCTATACGAAAAAATGATTTTTTCCCGCTGATGCTTCTGACTTTCAGGAGGTTTAGCGGCAAAATAAGAGTAAAATTCTGACTCGGGGTGGTTTGAAATGACTTAATTGTACCAATTGAGACTTATTGTAAGTGCTATTTTTCTTTATGCTTCTGTACTTAAACCTATAGAATAATGTATTAAAATAGCTTTCAAAAGAACGACACGTAAAAAGATAAAATAGATTTCACAGTTCTATTTTTGGGCACAATTGCATCTACTTTATTCTGCGTACATCTACTTTGATGTTCGTAGATTTTCCGTAACTTCTATGGATACATCAGTTTTTTTATAATCAAGATCAACAGCGATATTTCACTTCTCAGATCAGTGTATATTTATATACTGATTTTACTAGATAAACATAGATCTACGTAAATCGAAGTTTTTCGGCTTATTAGATTGAAGTAGATCATAGTAGATCTAAAAAATAGCACAAATGTACAATCAATAGTAATCAAATCAACATAAGACTGACGGCAGTCTTACGTATGCTGGTCAAAATTGGTCTTAATATATGTATTTAACGTTTTCCTAATACGACATAAGATTTTTATCAAAAATTTGATATCAGAAATAAATAGTAATCTGTTTCTGAAAGGAAACAAACGGACGTAAGTCTGACAAAAATTTTTACGCTTGGGTTGGCTACTACACGGAAAAAATGTTCTAGGAATTTTTACTAATCGATTTAGAGTAAATTTTACTAGCCAAAAATTAAAAATTAACAATTTTTTTTGTAAAAATAGCTAAAAAACTTAGGAAAAAATACTAGTTTGGCTGGTAAAAATTACCAAAAAAGTAATAAAAAGTCCTATGCAGACTGGTAAAAATTTCTAGAAAAAAATTTAAAGCGAAAACCTTTACATGTTGGAAAACCTGTAATTTTACGAGACATATCAATCAGTTTCATGCTTCATTTAATAAAGACTTCCCATTAAATTCGTAGCAGCGATACCGCGAAATCGCTGCTTATAAAGTTGAATTCATTGATAAATCGACAGAAGTAACTAGTATTACTAATTCTCTAGCCGCGATCCAAATCCGTTTCAAAGGGTTACACGGCCTCTTTAAACAGCATGATAAATTTAACCATATTAATTTCTTACATTGCATTATCAATCAACAGGCTCTATGCATGAAGAGTCTGTCGATTCCAGAGGTCGAAAATGTTGTCGTCAAAATTGTAAATTCAATCAAAGCTCGCGCTACTCAACACCGACTATTTAAAACGTTCGCTGAAGAGATAAATCCAGAATTTCGCGATTTGAAGTTTTATACCGAAGTACGCTGGCTAAGCAAAGGGATTATGTTAGAAAGATTTTATGAAAATATTAACATTATTTATGAATTTTGTTCAGAGAACGGCGAAATTCTTAATCAATTACGCGATTTTGATTTCGTTGTTAAATTAGCTTTTTTGGTTGATTTAACAAACATTATAAATATATTTAATTGCGAATTGCAGGGGGATCAATAGAAGTTTTTGGATTTCTTCGCCTAACTACTCTATTCACAGAATGTAAAGGGGAGTCTTTTATTCGTTACTTTCCAATATTATTACAATACATAAATCAATTAATAGTCTCATTTAACGATAGATTCAGAGATTTCGATGTGATGATAAAAATTACAGATTTCTTACTGGCGCCATTTAACCCTAATGAAGATGTCATTGCTTTGATTGAAGCGATAAAAATTTTCGATATTCATTGCCATCGTTATTTGCCAAACGTTATGATTGATATAGATGATATTCGCGAAAATAAAAAAATAAAAGCAGTTCTTATAGCGGGGGCGATATTTGGGGAATAATGAAAAAGGAAAAAATTTATCCCGAGAAGAAAAGGAGAGAAACATGGGTCGTGTTTCTCACTTACTTGCACCTATTGGTGGTTATGGTAACCCAAGGATTACCGCAGGTAGCGACTCCCATAGAGTCAAACATTGCCTGGCTCTGCACTACGGAGTCCTACATTAAATATTATATGTTGACTGTTATAAATTTTTTTCTAGAAATTTTTACCAGTCTGCATAAGACTTTTTATTACTTTTTTGGTAATTTTTACCAGCCAAACTAGTACTTTTTCCTAAGTTTTTTAGCTATTTTTACAAAAAAAAATGTTAATTTTTAATTTTTTCGGCTAGTCAAATTTACTCTTAATCGATTAGTAAAAATTCCTAGAAAATTTTTTTCGTGTAGGAATAAGACGAGAATTAGTCCAGTAACGGTGCAATTAAAGATAGGGATATTAGCGAATTCAACCTCTCATTTTAAACTGAGGTTATTTTTGAGTAAAATTGGACGAGAATTCTGAAAAAACTATTCGCAGGCAAAAAAAATGTACCCGTCATTGAGTTTTTTTTGTTATAAACAATTTTTGCCTGCTCGAGCCCTCACATTTTCATTAATAACTTTGTAGTTATGCAGAAATCGATGATACTTTATAGGACATTTTTTGTTCTTTACCGTCTAACGAAGATTTCTGTCACCTTACTTTACTTTTTTTCCGCCTATTTTTAGAGATATTCGATGTCAAAAAATGAAAAAAATCGTGCTAACTATTTTACAGTTATCATGCCAATTTTTCGGTATTACAGAATTCTTTCCAATCGATCTCAAAACAATTTCTTAGTATAAGATTAACAAAATCTGGAAAAAATTTCAAATGTAAGTCTTTAACTGACAATAAATAATTTAAGACATATGAAAACAAGAAAAACGATTAAATTTTCCGATGTTATGCTAAGGAATTGTTTTGAGATCAATTGGAAAGAATTCTGTAATGCGCGTACATTTTTTTTGCCTGGGAATAGTTTTTTCAGAATTCTCGTCCAATTTTACTCAAAAATAACCTCGGTTTTAAATGGGAGATTGAATTCGCTAATATCCCTATTTTTAATTGCACCGTTACTGGACTAAATTATTGATCTACAAGAAGTAGAAATCTGTAACAGATAATATCGGTCTTGTTATCAATATTATTAAATTCAATAAAAATATTCACATATGTAGACCAATGTTCTTATTTAGATACCAAGTATTAGGATGACCGAGCGGGTTAAGACGTAGGTTTAAGTTGTATGCATGCGAACGGTCGTTGGTTCGAATCTCGTTGTAGGCAAGAAATTTATTTACAATGAAAATTTAAATTAAACTTAAAAAGAACAGAAATGAAATGAAACAAGTAGAATTTAACTATATTAGCAACATCAGCCATGAAAAAATTTTTTCGATACAATATAACGAGTATGTCACATTTGTAACATTATATCCATATTATGACGATATAACAGTGTTTAGTGGGAAATTTACAATATTTTTATCTATATGTAACATCAAAGTTATATTTTCCTGAAATGTAACAAGGACATAACAATATTACGTCACATTGTTACGTTCATGAGTGGGAAATTGTAAGTTACATGTGCATCATATGTGACTCACATTTATATAATGTTTAGAATATTTAGAATAATTATTCTAATAAATACTTACTTTGAAAAGCCAGATTTGTTCTTATCGTTGATAGCTTCGATTAATATAATTCCATCGAGAACAGCCTGTCGAACTTTCATTCCAAGATCTTCGTTAGGGAAAGTCAAACATAAATCTATATCTTCTTGAAAAACTCTTGATACGAATGCGTTACTTTTATCAATACAAGGATTCGATTTCCATGTCAAAAATTCAGAATATACTGTCGGATCAAGTTCTATTCCAAAATATTTATTTTTCTCATATTTGTTGGGGCTTCGTTCCTTATCTTTTTCTTGCAATTCTTTTACATGATCTTGATCATTTTTTTCATGTATTTGAATATCAACAAAAAATTGTAATTTTTGTTCTTTAGTAGGAGATTCCGGAGGTGAATTTTCTCGATTATATTGTGAAGGTGATGTACGGTATTTTTTATTGAGTAACCTCATTTGAAAATCATCAGAACTATTGAACTTACATCGAGTATCGATTTGTGGGTGTAAATGGGGATTTGGATGAGCAGGAGTTGACGTAAGAACTAAAGTCTTCAGTGCTGCTACTTCAGCAGCCAAAACCTCAGTTTTCATACGGTTTTCCTTTAATAAACGTTCAGCTGTTGCTTGACGAGCATTTGCTTGACGAACCATTTTATGAGCCTCCTTTACAGAATTTGATTTTCTATTATTAATTAAACAATATGACATATATAAAAAGAGTTCAATATCTAATTAATTAATATAATGCAACTAAATAAACAAAAACATAAATTATAGTTAAAATAATTCTCAATGTAACTTTTTACACAGAAAATGGATAATCTTATTTTAAATTGTTTAGTTTTCTTATTATCCAGCGTAAAAAATTCAAAATTAAATTATCCAACTTTAGTTCTCAATGATATTCCTGATGGATTTGAGGCAAGTAATTATTAACTTTAAGACAACAGTCACTATGTGTGATAAAAAAACAGTTATTTAACTAACATGAAATATTCAATCAACTGTTGATCCGAATGTAACCTTTCTTTTATTTAAAAAATATAAAGCAAAAGTTGTAGATAAAAAACTACTCTTAATCACATTTAAACCGTTCATTTACTTTTTAGCTGATTGTAAGTTGATGTGACGTTCAATTGACCAATAATCAACACTCAAGTAACCGTCTATGAATGGTTAACTCATATATTCACATAACTCATAATTCATAAATCTCACATTCTAACGGTTGATTTATAATTATTCTAAGGGAAAGTTACCCTAAAATAACTCAAAGTAATCGCTACTCGTACAGAAATAAATTATTGAAAAATCAAAAAAAGCCTCTCATAAAATTACAATTTACTGCTGAAAATCGCTCAAATACTTGAAAACCCCTTAATTGTTTTCAGGCTATCAGTCTTTATGTGTTGCCCTAGATTTTTCAAAAATTATTCATAGTTTTTTTAGAGATCTTTCAGAGACTAGTTATATTTGTAATTGGAAATTCAGTACTTTCCAGTGAGCTGGTGTTACCCGAAAGATTCTCAGGACTAACTTTTTAGTAGAAAGAATGATATGATTTAGTTAGTTTACCATTTTTTTCAGTTTTTTAATTCTGTATAAAGAATAGCTGGATCGATTTTTCTGAAAACCTAATCAGTTCTAAGTTGCGTAATTATGCATTAAATGCAATTCGTCCCACGTCGATACCATTCTTTATTTTCGAGATAATCGATACGTAAAACAATTTTAAACACACCTACAGTCATCGACGTCTACTTAAAAACTATTATATTCAACTCTCGGCACCTTGAGACAAAGAGCTTGAGTCTTTTTTTTCAACTGCCTCTTTTTATTGTTCTTTTTTCTAGTTTCTAGATGACAGATAGTATCATTAATGACTTTTCTACAGTAAATATTGGATCTACTTTCTTTATAAAATCTTTTCTTCAGTGGATATTTGTACTCAAACAACATCTCGCACATGAAGAGCTTTTTTTTTTCTACTCATAAAGAACTTTCCAAGAAGACTTCTTATTAGATAGCTTATGAAAAAAGATCTTTAAGACTTTGTTTTTAAAATTTCAACAACAAAGCATTATTCAAAATCCATACGATTGTTAATTTAAATTGAACCGATTTCATTCGAGACAAATAATAACATTCGTAATGAATACTCTGTAAGAAACAATAATGAAGTTTAATTATCCCGTTCCTAAAAGATTTTCCGAAAAAATAAGAATTAATCTTTTTATCTTTTTCGAAGTAACAGAAGACAAATTAATTGATATGCAAGAAGCTAATGTGTTTATTGAATAAAAAAAAATTAGTTTTATTTCTAAGGGCCCTAGGTCTTTTTTTTGATAAGAAGTAAGAAAATGATCAGAAATTGTCCGCTCATCTTAAATTTATTTTTCTCCATACCTCGATCGAGAGTCCGTCCCTCCCGCACCGATTTCAAAGACGGAAGCGTAAGATTTGTGCACCGGTAAGGTTACACGCGCGCCCTCTACAACAGCTGTTAAGCTATGCTGTCTGAACGTAGGCATTCTTTTAGTTCTGTCACTTATATGTGAGTCGTTTTATAATTTATAATAAATATATTAGTTAAATAGTGATATCCAACTCATGCAAATGAACAAATTTCAGAATGTTTATCAACAAATTCAAGTTTTAACAAAGATCCATGTAATATGTATATAAATTGCGTATTTCATGAAAATATCATAAATAATTTCCATTATTCTTGTATTAATTGTAAAGACAATGAAAAAAAGAAAAATATGCAATAAAATAGCGTTTAATTTAAAAAAAAGTCATTTTTTAATGTAATGTAAAATGTGATCTTTAAAATAGAAAAATAATTATAAAAATAAAATTTTTTTTTTTAAATATTATTATGATTTTTATATGTTTTCAATGCCTGCCCAATAGCACTCGCTTCGCTCGTGCAGACAAATGTCAGGGCAGGCATTAAAAACATATATTCTATTCAATTTTGAAAAATAAGTCTGTGAAAGAAAGAAAAAAAACCGAAGCTTCGGGAATGTCCGAAGGGAGTCGCTGGAATAAGGCGCAAAAGTAAAATATGGCCGTGTTATGGGCTGTCCGCTAAAATGTGGTTTTTCATTTATAACTATTAGACGAACTTTCGACCGAGATATGAAGAAAAATAGTATACACTAAATGGGCAGGAAGTTAAAAGCCCTGCATTGCACACCATGATGCCCTCGGCTTCGCCTCGGGCGTCATGGCGTGCAATGCAGGAATTTTAACTTCCTGCCCATTTAGTGTAATATACTATTGATGTAAATTATTTTATAAAGATTGTCACGGAATATTTTTTCGTAATATGTTCATAATATTCTCCGATTTCCTGCACATTTGAATTACGTGTTGTAATTTGTATTGTATTGAGTGAAAATATTTATTTCAATAAAAAAGAAAAGAAATTGATAGACGCACGATTTTCATCAGAAAATTTAATATCAGAATTCTGTAACCCCCTATATATACAAAAGAACGGCTCAAATTATATAGTGCAAAGCAGATAAAAGAAAAAGAGTGAAGGATTTCTGGGTTCTGTTTGATTAAAAGAAGCTTTAAAACACTAAGGAGAAATATAATAGAGATTCCATTATGTTATAATAAATATTACAACGTAATGTAATAGTTTACTTGGAAAAGGTTGGCAGTAAGTTCTTCCAGCTCTGTTTCCACATCTTGCCTGAAGTAAGACAATCGTACGATTTCCTCTTCTTTCAACTTTAGTTCTTCATGAGCCTTCTTTAATTCTTTATGTAATTGGGTGAGTGTATCGTCTTTAAATTCTTTAGCAGCTTCCTCCCATTCAATATTTGTTAAAGATGATACGTCATTAGTTCTTGCAACAACATCTGTTTTTAACTCAGTCTCTGTATACTTAAATAAAACTTTGATTAATTTCCTGATTTTATAACTAAATAATTTCTTACATAAATTATATAATATTTAATTCAACTTACGTCAAGAAGAGATATAAATTCTTGATTTATAGCTACAGAATTTCGAGTTGATTCATGATCTTTAGCCGAAATTTTTTTATAAAAGTTTTTTATTTTTTGATTTAAATTAAGTAATTCAGCTTGTTGAGAAACTTGAATATCTTTTGATCTATCATTTGTTTTCATTTTATTCATTCGACATGATGTTGTTGGATTCTTGTCGATAATAGGTTGATCATATTGTTGTACCTTTTCTCTGTAATTGTACACTAAGATAATTAAAAAATATTGGAATTTTTAATTTATAAAAATATTGAAAAACTTGTTTTTTCTCTCTTTTATCATAATGGATGTTCTTCTTGTTCTGTAATCTGGTCTGCTTAAACGTTCCTATTAACAAAGGTAAATCCTATAGAGCTTTTCAGAATTTCAATAGGAAACAAAACACTAAAATAGGAATTTTTGACTGTCAAAAAGAATCTAACAAGACGGTATCAATTGGAATCGGAATTCTAAAAGCATTTAGTCGCCCTATGGAATCTAGATTGATCCTATTAACCGAACTGAATACGATAATAACAATTTTAAAGGAAAGTTGGCAACGAAATAGGAAATATAAAAATATAAATATATAAAATGCGACAGAGAAAAATTTTCACCTGGTTATTTCCTTCAATAGGATTCTATCGATTGTAATGGGTTAGAATCCCTGGGTTTCTATAGGTAATCGTTAGATTAATAAAAAAAAATGTGACCCACCAAATATTTTTAAGTACTGATATTCCTCCATAAGATTTGATATATTTTTTCTTCTATTGCTACAAGATAAAAATTTCAGATCACTTTTATTATTCCTCGCTTAGCCCTAAGTCACAAAAGCCGATAAATTATGATTTATTGACTTCAGATCAAGCTCTATAATCACTACACATAATTAATACCTCGGATCGAAATACGGAAATGAAATTCTTAACCACGGATAAAAACGACAGTCTCACTTTAACGATTATTAAGACAAGTACCAATTGCACTGTGTGAGCTTCTACAAGCCGTGTTTGCTTATTATCAGGTGAAGTTTGACCAGTGATTAAATAATCTTGGATCTAATTCACGCGAATCTTAACATAAATTAGTGATATTCGGTTAAATTGACCAGTTGCAATGATCACAACGATCCGTTTGATTGACCAATGATTTAAAACGTCCAATTGATGCTGAAACGACCCAGAAGTTAAAGAACGACCAGGACATTAACTCTAACGAACCTTCTTAAATCGGTAAGAAACAATTATATTCCGATCTCTTCCAAAACAATTTATTCTAAATTTTTATCTGCATTGTAATAAATCTTCTCTTATATCAAACACTGTCAAACGGGAAATCCATCATAGCAAATACTTTCGCAATTATTTCGTTTCTTAAAAAGAATTAAACTTACATACTCTTTTTAATTGCACACCCTGCGGAACAGGTTTTTTTACACTACTTTCTCGTTTCTCCTGCATTAACACCTTTCTCCCTTCCACTGCCTCACTATTTTATTCTTCCCATGTTAACTACCCTTTCTCCCTTTCATTTGTCTCAACTCTTTCTACCTGCCCGACACATTATTACACACATATCATGCCGGGTTGCATCTGCAGCCGACTTATATCCTAACCATGATATCTTATTTGCACGAAGACACAGGGAAACTGCAGAAAACCTGTGCTGATACAACTGGCTTTGTGTGATAAAAAAACGGTTATTTAACTAACATGAAATATTCAATCAACTGTTTATCCGAATGTAACCTTTCTTTTATTTAAAAAATATAAAGCAACAGTTGTAGATAAAAAACTACTCTTAATCACATTTAAACCGTTCATTTACTTTTTAGCTGATTGTAAGTTGATGTGACGTTCAATTGACCAATAATCAACACTCAAGTAACCGTGTATGAATGGTTAACTCATAGTTCATAAATCTCACATTCTAATGGTTGATCAATAGTTATTCTAAGGGAAAGTTACCCTAAAATAACTCAAAGTAAACGCTAAGTTTACTATTAACCTAAGTTCAACTCTCATTTAACAGTTGACATGAATCCATCAGGGATACCATTACATATAATTGTCTATTACTGTATACAGTCACAAAGAGTAAAATTACTATTCCTTTAAAAGTCATATAAAATATTATGTAATTCTTTATGTTTACATAGTGCAGTATACGGCAATTATATACGGTTCTATATCAAAATATACAACTTCTAATAATATACTTTGTACATGGTCATACCCTGCTTAAAGGATCACATTGAGAAATAAAAATTGAATGGGAAAATTGTATTGGAAATTTCTTATTGAAACCTATTAGAAATGCGTTTCCTATAGAAATCCATTAAATCTCATTCAATTGTCCCATAGAGATGGATCAAATCCTTTTCAGTTTTTGTAGAGGAATAGAAAAAATTTTATAGGATTTTAATATTAACTTTATAATCTTATTCAACTTTTGTCTTTCCTTCTCAACCCTTTTATAGGATTGGATGTTATTTGATAGGATTTTAATGCTCTCAAATTTCCCATAAAATTAAGGGTAATCTGATTAAACGTTTTAATAAAATCTTATTACCATAGAAAAAAATCAGTTTAAACAAAAGGAAATTTTAATTCGCTCTGGAGGTTTTTGGTTTTTCGAGATATACTGTTCAAATATACCCTCGAAATGGAGTTTATTAAAAACTTTGTTCAAAAAAATCCTGTTGATGGTGAAATTCGATCCTGATATCCTCGGATCCATAGTCCAGTACGCTGCCGACTGAGCTATTCTAAAATATGAAGTTATGACTTTCCCTTTACTAATTTGATTTCAATATTAGTAACAATTTAAACATTAATCATGTAGATTTTGATTTAGAAAATATTCTCTAGTCACGATGTTCCCTATAAGGTTTTCACATTTGAATTGATACAATGCTTGAATAGAAGAGAGAGTATTGACTGTTGGAGGATTTCAACCTATTAAATCATGCAAAATCCTATTGAGATTTTAAGTATAATAAAACCAATTTTTATAATTCTATTAACATCCATTAATGAGAAAATCAGGATTCTAAGGGTTTATAATATTTACTCGCAATTACCATCGCAATCCATATTTTCCGATTGAACTTCTTTTATAACAAATATTTCTTTGACTCAACCTATCTGAATTCTTCGTTTTCTATTGGGATCTTCTATCAATCTATAGGATTTTACATATTTCAATAGGACAGTTTAAGCTCGGTAATTCAGTGAAGTAATACTTTCTAAGTAATACTGTCCTTGTAGACAAAGTCTATTTCTTATTGAAACTCTTTAATGCCCTCCGATAGAAATACTTAAAACCTTGTTCGAAAATACTTCGAGTGAATGAAAATATTCAAGTTTGCTCCCTAGCAAAAATTTCAAAATAGAGACAAAAGAATTGTAATTTATTTTTTATTTATTTACATAGTACCTGAAAGTAATTTTTACGAACAAGTGTAAGTATTCATAAAGGAATGCTTGTGCACAAATATAAATGTAATCATATTCTATGAGATTGTGTAATCACAGATGACTGTAAAGTTACTTATGTTTTGGAAATTGCTAACAGTTTTGAGTTATTAACTTCCTATTAGGAAGTTATTGTAATTGGGTCGATTGGTGAAATTTGAATTTTCATTAAATTTCCACGTTTCGACATATTTGCAAGCATACTGACATATTTTTAGAATGATGTGTGTGTGTGTATGTATGTATGTGCGGACGTCAGCATTTTTTTCGTTTTCGATATCTTAAGAACGGATCAAGATATCAACTTGAACCAAAATTAATTCGAAAGATATTATTATAAAGTAGATCTGAAAGAAATTTGAACAAATACGAGTTTTTTTTTTATAACAAAATAACTAAAAAAGGAATGAAAAGATTAGCTATTTAAAATACTTATAAGCCAAACAATAACAATTTTATTTGAAAATTAAGTCGATATTGACTAGACATTATTGTTCACAACCAAATATGACTCCTCACAATTACGCATTGTTTATAACAATATGAATTTGTTATAAACAATTGAAAATTGTATTTATCGATTAACTGATGCGTCTATCACATGGATTCAGAAGCTTTCAACAAAATAATATGATCAATGATGAGATATGACTCTTAACAATTACGCATTGTTTATAACAATATGAATTTGTTATAAACAATTACTAATGGGAAGTTCGTCGTGTTAGCACAAAGTGTGCTCAGACCTATTTTTTAATTTAATTGTTTTCTTTATCTAATTTTATTCTTCATCAGAGCCTATTATTGTAGTAGTAAGTGCCCGATTGGCCTTCCTTTCTCTTCATAGATATTATTACTATTTTTACAGCGTGACATATTTTGCCAATTCTATCCAAAAATTGGGTAACGCCCGAAAGTTTCTTTCAACTAATTAATTTTTCTTATATATTAATTGATAAATTATTTAATGAAATCTTATTGTTTTTAATTCTTTAGTCATACACGTCTGTATGGTTTAGCAACTCTCCCTTCAGGCACGGTACAGTTACAAGGTTTTGACATATTTAAGGTTAGACATTATTAAGCAGCTGGAGAACATAATCATTGGTTCCGAGAATCTTTTGAATGGTTTCTGGCCCAACGCCCTCAAAGTAGTGAAAATTATACCGATATCTAAAGCTAGTGTTAGACATACGTTCACAAATTATCTATCTCATTTATATCAAACGCTAAGATTCTCGAAAAGACTGTGTATACTAGACTCAATAATTTTTTATATGCATATTATGTAATATTGAATAATCAATTTGGCTTTATCAAGGAAAGGAGTACTTCAGATGTCCTAGATTTACCCTAACGGAATACTGAAACCGTTTTAAAACGGTTTTTATAGCAAAAAAAAAAACGCTTTCTAAACCATTCAAAAACCGTCCATAAAATATCAGTGCTCTCCAGTGATCTGGGTGCGACCCAAATGGTTCATACTACTAATTTCTTAGTGGAAAAAATGATAAAATTTTGCTAGTTTACCACTTCTTTCAGTTTTTTGATTCTGCAAAAAAAAAAAGCCGGATCAATTTTGCTGAAAACCTCAGTTGTAGTTGTGGTATTATGTGTAGAATGCAATTGGTCCCACATCGATATCATTCTTTGTTCTCGAGATAATCGAGGCGAAAAATAATTCCAAACGCACATACGTATATACGCATATACATACATATAAACACCCACTCAAAAACTGTTGTATTCGACTCTGGGGACCTTGAAACATGGAGATTTGTAAAAATTTGGGATTCGCAAAATCGGACTCATTACAATAACTTCCCACTGGGAAGTTAAAAAATCAAAATAGAAAAGAAATTTTTTAAAAATGTAAAGAAAGTTGTTTTAACTATTTTGTAGTTTCTGCAGAAGAAAGAATCTATCACGTAACCAATTATATTATATTCATTCAAAGTATACTATACAAATTTTTATTATCAACCACTAATCTATACCTGAGTCAGAATTTTTCTCTTTTTTTGCTGCTGAACCTTCTTCATGACTCCCGATTTAGCACCTTCAGCGGCATAATATTTTAAACAAATTCAAGGGCTTCAGTAAAGTTTATTCAACAAAATAAAGATCACCTTTATTTTATGTACGGATCTTCTCATTTAACACTACCTGACCTTTCAGGATCTGCTACATTTGGTGACCTCGACATGACCTTTCTGATTTTTCATTAACTACGCGAAACTGTAAATTATTTTCACGCGTAATATTTCGTCACGTGCTTCGCGTCGAGTGAAGTGATTTCCTTGTAAGAGACACCACTAGTGCAAATGGAACTGCGATAAATTGTATTGGAGATCGTGGGTTATCACAATTCTTACGACACTTTAGGGCACTTGTACCACGCATCGACGAAGATGTTTCAAAATCAAGATGGATGTCCATCCTCCCAGATCAGACCAAGGCTCTTCTGACTGTCCAGACTGACTTCACAAATCTGGTGTTTGTTTTTACTATAACAAATTCGGTGAAGACGCTAAAAACTGCACCTCTGACTGCAAATGCCAGAAAAACGACAAAGGGAATCACTAGCAACGGAACGTGATTCTCAATTGATAACCACCTAATTCATCAAAGACAACTCATCCAAGACCCAATTTTTTGTTGACACCAGCTCAGACATCTTTGTGGGTCTAAATGAATGGAAAAAATCGTCACTTCAGCTGGTCGGATATCACCTGCTAGCAGTAAATGAAACTACTATACAGACCTATGGCTGCAAAACACTACCACCAAATCTTGGTCTCAGGCGTGACTTTACATGACGTTTTATCATCGCTAACATCACTCGACCCATAATTGGAGCTGACTTTTTGAGTCATTTTGACTTATTAGTTGACCTGAAAAACAAATGCCGGCGTGATGAAATTATGACACTTACTACACGAGGAAAAGTCATGACTTCAAACGAAGTTTTGATAAAATCGATTTCTCGTGACACAGTCTACCATGACCTGCTTCGGAAATTCTCAAGCATCACCAATCCTGACGGCATAAATACAATCAAAAAAAATTCAACAACACGTCATATAAGAACCACACCAGGTCCATCTGTCGCCTGAAAAGCGAAAAAAAAGCACCTAAGAAACTGAAAACGGCACAGAAAAAATTTCGTAAGATGATCCAAATTGGCCTTACACGATCCGGAAGTAGAGCGTGGTTATCACCACTACATCTTGTTTCCAAGAAAGCTGGTGAATAGCGCCTGTGCGGAGATGACAGACCACTCAACGCCAGGACGATCCCTGATCGCTACCCAGTGCGTTGCTTAGACGACTTCTTCTCCAACCTGAACGCTCTAGAGGACATTGAAAAAACAACTATCATTACTCCTTTTGGCCTGTTTGAGTTCCCGTATATGATTTTTGGCTTACGCAACGCTGCCCAGACATTTCAGCGATTCATCGACGAGATAACACGTGACCTACCGTTCGTTTTCGCCTACATCGGTGACTTTCTTATTGCAGCAACTGACCAATCAGAACACCTTCAGACTACGGATTGGTCATAAACACAGCCAAGTCAATTTTCGGCACCTCCGCAGTCAAATACTTGGGTTACACTAACGACAAGTCAGGTATTAAACGACTTCTTGACAGGGTGAGGAACATTTTTATAATTCGAAAAATGGATTGGCTCCAATAAAGAAATATAACTTCGTCTATACATAAATTTTTATTGGCTAAATGATTTTTATTGATTCAAAACAATTAATATTTTTGAAAAATGATCATTTGAATGAAGTTGTGTATAAGCCTGATACATAATTTTAATTTACTGAGTGTTAATTACATTATTTCATCTCTTGAAAGGTATTGTATTATTATATTCCGTAATTATAAGACATTGAGAAATAAAAATGTTAAAATCTCTCAAGAGAACTTATAAAAAAACTGCTCCAAAAAAAACGAAAACAATTAAAAGTAAATGAATTTGATTTGCAGCTTGAAAAAGAAGATAATGAAGAGATTGATATCAAAAACGTAGAATTTCGAATGACAAATGATTACTCATAAGCTCATTAAACGCAAGCACTGCAATTATGATAGCAACTCATGAACGGGTAGTTATTATTTTAATACCAGAAGTGAACTTATTTACATATATCAACTTAATTTAATACAAATAAAGATTGCATTCGTGTAACAATACATAAATTTTTTATTACATATCATTAGTTTTGAATTAAAAAGTTGTTAACATTTTTTTCAGTAATATAAATTATTAATTACGCAACAAATTCATTCACTATCTGATTCCAAATTTCCAGAGATTACTTTTAGTAATTTTTTTTCTTAAAGTCTTTTTCTTCTATATAGCAAAAAATTTTTTTTTTTTCGATTTATTTTCATTCGATTAAGTTAAATCAATTGTTAAATGGTAACCCCGTGCAACATTTACTCTTTTCAATACTTAAGTCTGTAGGAAATGACATGATTTTATTATTGCACTGATTTCCCATCGCCGGCTTAGACCCCTCTCTACAGGCATGATAAGCGCGACTTATTATGTCTGTAGTACATAACAAAAAATTTTTTTTTCATAGTTTTTAAACGATTTTAATACCGTTTTTAACGGTATAAATTTCGTTTCCGTACGGTTTTTAAAACGTTTTGTTGAACGATTCTTGCTTTTTGGACCTAGCTAAGGCTTTCGAAAATGTTAATCACAGTATTCTTCTCAATAAATAAAAAATATATGCCAGTATAGCGTAGTGTATAGTAAGATATAATGTTATAAACAAATATCTGTACAACACTTGAGCAGACAAGAAACCGGGATAAAAATAATGAATTGTGCATGATCATGCATGGGTATATATTCTATCTATTGCCATGTATATGCTCTATTACATCTAATTGTGCATAATTAAGCATAATTGTATGTGATCCGTTTTCGGAAATTAACTTTGTATTATCGTCATTGGTTTGGTTGTTCAATGTATCCAAATCAGAATGTTTAGACTTTAAGAAATCGTTTATAAGTGTTTATTCATTTTCAAAGTCATCCTAAAATATCTTATAAGAAAATTTAAATTCAAAGTCTTTTGTAAGAAACAAAAACTAACCTTAGTGAACAGAAACTTTTATCGTCTTCATCGAATAAGCTAGTTGGTTCGACATTATCAACTGTTTCATCAGATAAATATTCAAAAAGATCTGTTGCAGCACGTGCCAAATCTGACTTTAGAATTGGATAAGAAGAATTCAATGCTTTTCCCCCATAGTCTGCTTTGTTAAAGTATAACTCATCTTCGTCAGTAGTATACTCTTCATCGCCAGTTGTCCCTGTGCTTCCAGCTCTTCTATGTTTCGTAAGAGGTCGATATATATAATCATTCCCTCCAGTGACAGATTGAGAATCATTCGAATCTATTGCATTAGGCTGCTTTGACTCTATTGCCCTCATATTTATATTATGAGTTTTTCCGTGAATATTTTCTGAAAAAATCGAAAACGTATTTTTATTACTAACTTTGAGGAAATATATAGATATATTGAAGCATATGAATCTTTGCGCACTTGTTTTAGACAAATAAACAGATAAAATAAGGAAATACTTATAGAAAAAGATTTGCGCAACAGCGATCCATGGAATGAAACGAGATGAGAATAATTAGTTTAAGGATAACCGAAATATCGGAATTTAAAAAATTGAAGCGGTTTGGCAGATTTTTATCGGCCATATGTAAAACGAGTAAGAAAATAAGAGATATGAAATTAAAAGAGATAGAAGATAACCATAGTGACAAACACGCGGGGAGAGAAAGATAGCATGATCGAAAAAAAGAGATAGCTTGAATGAGTAAAACGCGCGGTTGAAAAGTGGCCAAAAGTAAGGAATCTCCAGATTTCCATGTTTTGGTAGTTCTATGTACATAAAATTTTGAAATAAGGTCGAATGTATGGTCCGTAGACGATGTACGTCGAAAAAAAATTATTTTTTATATTAAATTGCATTGACAAACAATTCTTAATTAACATTATTCAATTATTAACTTATCACAGTATTTTAAAACAGCATAAAAATTTTCGCACTAACTCAGTCATGTAAATGACGTCTATAGCTTTTTTTAAGTGGCAAAAAAGACAACACTATGCATTTCGGCATAGTTAATGAATTTGAAAGTTCTTTGAAGACTGAAAAATAGTGACTTTTAAGCCTTCATTAACTCTTTTTCCCGACATAAGTCCATAGTATTTTTATCAAAATCTAGTATTAAAAACACTGTTTTAAAGTTGTTGATAATGAGCGGTCTCCAGATTTCCCGGTTCCACTGATTTTATTGCATGAAAATTCCAGAAGATGGTAGAATATATGGTCTGTAGACTATATACATCGAAAAAATTTGTTTTTTTATTGAGTTGCAAAAAAAAAAACATGAACAAATATAAAAAATTAACATTAGTTATTTATTAGCTCATTACAGATTTATATGAAGTTAATAAATTTTATATCGGACATCTATAACTGCAGACTAAATAATTTTGATCGTAGGTATTTATTGCTTCCTAAAAAGAATTTTATGATTTCTTCATAGCGACTTATATTTGTTTAGATATATACTGTAACTTATAATTTATAATGTTGGTTGACATTGGCAACAAGAAAAGTGTCAAATAGATACACAGTCCGAATACTTTTTTAAAAAATAGAGTGTACGAATCATCTTTCACGATCGCTCTGTAATAATTTGAAAGAAACCAGTGAAGGTAAAAGACGAATAAAAAAATGGCGAGATATTATCAAAGAAAATATACCAAGAATAAAATATGATATCACAGCAACGGTTAATTATAGTATTAAGCAAGATATAGGTGAAACCGAAAGAATAAAAAATATTCGTCATGATTGTTTGAATGTACCGCATTATATTTTTGGAAATCATGAAAACTGCGCCAGTTATTTTTGCAATAACAAGCCAAAAAAAAAAATGAAATTAATTATGTTCCAAATATGATAAAAGCAGGTGTATTTCAACAAATCGAAGTAGCCTTTCAGCGAATAACGTTGAATGCAGATAGTTTAACACAAAAGATGAATAATAACATTGTGGAAACTACGAATTCTGTCTAGGCTAAAATAGCATCTGCTAAGCGCATACGATTCGCTTTCAATATTCGATGTTCAGCAACCGTTATTCAAGGTTATGGACAAAATGTACTTCAAAAGATGGCTGAAGCCAGGGAAAAAATGCCTACAAGAATTTTAGGAGATATTGAAAAAAAAGAAAGTTAAAAAAAAGTCGATGGGAACCAACGAACAAAAAATAAGTCAACAGAAAAAGCAAAATCGTCCAAGGACTATGGAAAAATTTCAGAAAGCCTGACATAAATGAATCAGAATTTAAAGATCGAAGGAAAAATTTATACAATTATGGTTATGGCAAAAACCTCGATATCAAATCCAAACTGAAACTTAAAAAGATAACCTGGGATTGCTGACTGATATCTTGCATAACACTATTTCTACAGAACATTTTTGTAAAATTTGCAAGTTGAGAAAGTCAATCTCATGTGTAGAAATTGTAAAAAAAATTCTTTACAAAGCAAAACGGAATACTGTTGCAGACAAACACGAGGCAGAAAGTTTAAAACAAGCTTGAAATTAATTTCAAAACAAAGAAAAAGATTCGAAAATTCAACAATTTTGATTATTTATCAATCTTAAACAACCCCGTTTATTAGCTTTACCATCCGGTGGACTTATGAACAATGTTGGAATCGTAGAAATTTTTTGTCCCATGAAGGCAAAAGAATTAACACCAGAAGAAGCTTTCAAAGAAAATGTTGCAGAAATAAGTAAAATTTATACTAACGAAGACATTCGTGAAATGAACACTCATCATGTGTTTTATTATGGAATACAAGGATTATTACATATTACAAATCGTAGTTATTGTATATTGGTACTATAGACTTCTTCAGGTATGAAGCAGACAAAAGTACTGAAAAATGATGAATTTTGGACTGTTCATATAGAAGAATTTTTAGAAAGATTCTATACGAATTGTTTGCTTCCGGAAAATCTCGATAGCAGGCACAATCGAAAGATGGAAATTAGAAATCCTACGTACATGACTACGGAGCTTATGAGAAAAAAACGAAAACGAACATCCATGTTTTCTACGGGAATATTTAATGATCCTGAATATAATTATAAAGATATCAACGCAGATTATCCAGTAGCGCAATATAAATAAAATCCTAATGTTTTACTCGATGTGTCTGAATATAATTTGTCGTCTACAGAATTTAGAACATTGAGAGACACGTGGATTGATGTTGATGTTATTCATAGCTATTCAATAGCTCAATATTCATAAGAACATTGTAGAAATGTGCAATTTATAACCACTCGGCATACTGCATTTATATTAGAAGATAACAGTGAACGGGAAGAAATAGATCCTTCATGTTTTATTTATCACATTGATTAGAGTTCAGTAAACATTCTTTTACTAATATATACGTATCGCAATCATTAGTGTCTTCTAGATATTGACACAAAAAATAAATATGTACTACATAAAGATCCTATTAAAGGAGGAAAATTTATATGATATACAGTGGAAAGTTTTTACTGAGACAGACTTGACTATCAATAGGCTAGTACCGTCTGATGGGTATAATTGTGAAATGTTTATTATGTATTATATGGAGAATATTGGGTTTCAAACTATTCTCGAAAACCCTTACTACGATCTAAATAAACGCAGATCCGATATTGCATCATATTTGTTAATACATCGAAATCGATGGAGAATATTTGTATGCACGGGTGACAAAAAAAAACATGACATTCGAATGTACATCATGTAAACGTAAAATACATGATAGATGTCGAATGAGATATAAAAACGGTGAACCCATGGATAGTGATGATTGGACTTGCTCATTGTGTTCAAAATATTTTTCGTGAAATAAACTGATCTCAAGAAAAATTTGATCAAAATATAGGTCAAATTTATTCGTGCCGCAGAAACAAAGAGAAATTTCGAAACATAAAATGATATTATTTTCTTGTTTAGATTCTGCATTCAATTGATAGCTAATTATTACAAATTACAGGAGTAATTAATAAATACAGAAGTAATTGATAATGTTGTTATTTAAATTTCTAAATTAATAATTAGTAATTTTACTAAGAATTAATTAAGATTTTTATTTATTTTGTGATGGAAACATCACGTTCTCATAATAAAAAAAAAATAATGTTTTAATATGTATATCAACGATTCAACTTATGGTTCAATAATAAATTATGTGTTTTAAAGTTCACACATATATTTTGACCATAACACATATGTTTAAAAGAACTTATTTATGTTTTAATATTCGTCAAGATGTTTTAACGTTGAATCATACAATTAAACGTTTTAACTTATGTTTTAATGATTAAATATATGTTCTAACGAACTTATTTATGTTCAAATGGTCGAATATAGGTTCTAATGTTCCAAATCATATTCCAATGAACTAGAATATGTTTTAACGTTATGTTATGTGTTCTAACGAACTCATTTATGTTTGTTGAGAAAATCTCAACTTGTGAATTTAACCTAACCGTTTAAGGATAGGGATGATTGTGCTGGAACAGAGCAAACGGAAGTCAGGTTTTATAAAAAATAAAGTATCTTTATTTTCAGCACTAACAGGTACACTAAATACACTGACAACTTTGTGTTATTAAATAGGAAGACTGAATGTCGCTCAAAATCACTGAATGTCTATTTCAATTACTGAATCTGAAGTCAATGTCAAAAAAATACTCAACTTGGTGTGTTCGGTATTATTGACCTCCCACATGAGCTCAGCACGCTTCTCAAGTTGAGCAAAAATGTGATTGTGCACGTGGCGTTAGCCTATCAATGCAATGCAAAATGAATTTTGATGAAATGTCTTGAATTTCCAATGATCTGTCTTGAAATAGTTCTTGATTTTAGTTTCAAAATAAAGCCTGAATGTTTCTGATGATTCACAATAGCACTAGTACTGATGATTGTCTCAAAACTTTCAGATTTGTTAAGAAAGAATATGAATGGCGTGTACACGTGAACGAGAACAGTAAAAGAATGGTGACAGGAACTTCATTAGTCAAAAGGGACACTGAAAATTAGTCAAATGATTGACTAAATTAAGAATTATTGATTATTTGGTCGATTGGTTATCGACACAGTCCCAAGATGGCCGCCGAAGTTCCTGTCAGCTGGCAAATTCAAACTGAGAATTAATTAATTCTCAAAGTGTCAAATATAGGTCTTAATGTTCCAATTGATATTCTGTTAATATGGAATACGTTCTAACGATTTTATTTATGTCCTCATAGTAAAATGTGCGTTCCAACATCTGTTGTCGTTTTACAATGCTATAAGACGTTTTTTCCAAGCAACAAACATGTGGTTCAGCGCTTTAACTTATGTTCTAATAATGAAAAATGG